TTTCCATTTTATTCTCTATAATAATGAAAATTCTCGTTTAATACATAAAAATTTTTATATCCGTGTTAACATATCACTAACATTTTTCGTTTCCCCTCTTATTTTGTGTAGATTTTTTTTTGGGGGGGACAATTGAATTAAATTATTAAATAAATCTTTTCATTAAAAAAGTAATCAACGACACAATGTATCCTATTCACTTTTATAATTCTCTTTCTAAAATAAAAAATACTTGTAGAAGTAAATTTTTTGAATAAATAGAAAAAAAAGATACATTATAAATTTTTTTAAATAATTTCTTTTATATTTTTAATAATGCTATTTGTTTTATATTCGCGATTCGATTAATAATAGAATATTTAAAACTTATTATTATAGAATTAATCATTTTAATATTATTCATCGATTATTTATTTTCTACAAGAAAATCATTTTTCATCCAAATTATTTTAATGTTTTATAAAAATATAACTTGATCTTTGAAAGGGAAATTTATTCGAGCAATAAAAAGATCTAGTTATTAACTTACTGAGACAAGTTTGAGCGTTAAGCGAATTACAATGCTTCTTAAAAATTGACAATTAACGATTAATGACGAATCGAGGTACCACTCGATTTCCTTACTAACCAACGTCCGCTCGAACTCCGCCTAGCAACAAGGGGGACCTGTATAAAGTTGTTGGGTAAGCTCGTCCGATAAATCGGAAGGAAAACGCACAGCGAAAGAGAACCGTTAGTGCTTGGAATCATGTGCGGAACTAACACGACGAAATATGTGAAATCATAATAACATAATCTTAATTGTAAACGTTAAATGCACCAAAATACATTTCATAAAATATATTTTATCAATTTGTCCCTACTATCATTTATGGATGATATTAGACCCTTTTTAAAAGTAAAAAAATGTTTCATGTTATATTATAATGTCCTATTTTTATCATGATACGAATTATTAGCGTATTAGCGGAAAAAAAAAGAAAAGTCTAAAATAATGCGTATAAGAATAAAGAATAATTAATTTTTTGAACATTGTGTGTTAATTAATTTTGAAATTTCTATCAAGAGTTTGTAAAAATTTTCTAAAATTTTTCAAAAAAGAAATTCTAATTTTTCTAATCCTTTTTCATGTTGAAATGTAAAAAATTATTATAATATATTGTCTTCTTTCTCTGAATTGCGAAAAATTATCATATATTTCGATAAATTATTCCTACGAGAAAGTTAGACTTACCTTTCGCTAGACGGTTTAAGATGAGATCTTTATGCTGCGCAGTATGAGGCTCTGGAAGCACAACGAGAAGGTAACAACCGCTTAGTGGTGACGGTGGTGGATGCTGTTGTTGAGAGCCTGGTTGCACCGCACTACCGGTCACCGGTATAACCGGAGATATATTTTGTTCAACGTTTGTTGGTGATATTGTACTCGTCACCCCTCCCCCTCCGCCCTCTCCAGTAGGATCCGTGGTACTCATTGCTAAAACAAAATGCAAAAAATAATCCAATTATTCCATTTGCTGTTGATACAAATATATTTATTTGTATAATGATAATGATAATCCAGTGAAATTTGTAAAGTTATGAATCCCTGTTACAAGACATTTATTATTTGTCACTTAGTTTCTCCTCAAAGGAAAATTTGCCGTTTAAATATGTCATTCGGATCAAATTTCTTGACGATAGTCGATAGTCTAACCACAATCCACTGATTGCCACTTTTCACTAACACTTTTTTGGATATCATGTCCGATATGGTATATAACATCATACTTTCATCAGCATTCTCATATCCCACAACACCTTATTCGTTATTAGAATGGATACACTACTTTCACATTTTGTATATCACTATATTT